CTGGCTGGGGAATTCTGGGAGTTGAAGTCCACTCATCTTAAAACTGTCAAGGTTGAGAAACCCTGGCTTAGATGGTCTCTTCAAAAAGCATAGTTCTACAAAAAGAAAACAAAAGAAACAAAATAAGAGACTCTTTAAAATGAAGTCACTCCATGACACTGATCTAATGTACGCTGTGACGTTACGATGTAAACCCATCCCTAACACACTTGAGTGCAGTGTCAGGATGGGGCAGGGTTTACGTTGCAATGTGGGCAGTGCTCACAGACCAACTGGTGATCTGCTGCACCCTTATCCAAAGAGGTCATGGGGGCCTTCCCTTCGTGGGACAGCTTTGAAACAAGGCTAGGCAGCTGTCTGTGGAGGATGCTTAAATCTGGCTTCCTGAACTGAGCTTGGTGGCTTCAATGCTCCCTTCTAATCCTGGGATTCTAGCTTAGGAAATTGCTCCTGCTGGTCACCTGGTCTCCTCCCATTTCTGAACGTGGGCATCCCACTAAGGTTGATACTCACCTGCTTTTCTCCTGCTGTGGCCTCTTGGTAGGTTCTCAGGAACTCTTCGGTCAAGGCCACTCTCTGAACGCCCCCCTCAAGGTCCCTCGCTGCCACCCAGGCCTTGACTTCTGCTGGAAGGATGGCCAGGAATTGCTCCAGGATCAGCAGCTCCAGGATCTGCTCCTTGGTGCGTCTCTCCGGCTTCAGCCACTGGTAGCAAAGCTCCCAGAGGTGGCTGTAAACCCTCCGGGGGTCTTCAGTCCCCTGGTAACGGAAATGACGGAAGTGCCGGCGCTGGGCTTCTACCCGGTGGGCTTCCCCTTGCAGGATGGCAGCCTTGACCTTCCCATAGTCTTCTCGGTCTCCAGCTTCCAGGCCACGGAGGGCCGCTTGGGCTTCTCCGCAAAGAGCTGGCAGGAGCCGGGCTGCCCACTCTTCTCTAGGCCACTGGCAAGCTTTGGCTACTTGCTCGAAGGAGGCCAGGAAGGCCTTGGGGTTGTCCCTGAGCTCTGTCTGCTGAGGCTCCCCTCCCTCTGAGAAAGTGGAGTCCATCTCCTTTAGCAAGTCCTGCCACTGGGTCACCCAGCTTTGCTTGGGCCCCTCTGATGGGATCGAGGTCCTCAGAGGCTCAAGATGACCTCCAGAAGCCAGTCTTCCTGCTCTCTGTCTTCGTGCAGCAACCAGGGCCTCCATTTGGGCTTCTGGCTCTAAAATGCAGTGTGGCCCCAGAGGGAGTTTAACCCAAGCTGGAACTGGCTCCCTTTCTCTCCAAAAAGTGGGGAGCAAAGAACACCCCTGCTTCTCTCTCTCTCCCTTTCTCTCTCTCTCCTGGCAATCAGCTCAGGGTCAAGAGAAAGGTTTTTTGGATAAAAATCTGAAAAGGGGGCTGAGACCCCCCCCCCCCCCCC